GAGAATTCGCTCATTTCTGAAAACAAGTTCAAGGCCCAAGAAATTTTGAGGCATCAATATTCACTCATCATACCATCATTCCATTCGGAAGCAACCCCCAAAAACCTTTTTCTCTCTAACTGTTTTCCTATTTTCTAAGATCTTATAACCGCAAGTAAAAGCCCAGTTTTAAGAAATAGATGCGATGGCATATCCCGGCCAACACTGTAATCTTTCACATCAGGCCTCTGCCTTTGCAGATGCACTTATCGCTCGCCTTGTGTAACAATGGGTCTGACGCCAAAATCTCTTCGAGGATTACTCAGCTGCAGAGATACGGTTTATGCTAGCATTGGAATTTTCGTTTTGCTAGTCACCACAGAAAGTTTCTTGTAAAATTCAACTAACACATTTACGTTTTTTTTTTCTAACTGACATTTCAGACTCTACTGGAATCGTTTTGGTCCCCGTTTCGAGCTTCATGAAAACTAAAACACTTCCCTGTCACTATTTCCACCATGCTAAGAGGGACTGCTATCAATAGAAACACCTTGTTTTTACCGAAAAAATTTCAAGATGTTTGATATCGGATAGCTCACTGAGCTGCAACACTCAAAAACAATCTGAACTTTTTTTCATGCGTATAAGACCCTCCCAGTAAAAAATTCTAACTGGTCGCTAGTTAGAAATAGGAGTTCACAGGCTTGGTTGGGGTAAGTGACAACCGAATTTCTTCGGCAAGCGGCAGTAGTTTTGACATTACCGTGATTTTCCTCGCAAATTCAAATCTTCCCTGAAAGTAGTCAAGGCCTGGCGGATAGAGTGTGGCGAGCAAGCCACGCTGTTTGGATACAATACCGTACACGTGGGGTCTTCTGCATGTAAATATAGATAGTATAGAAAAAGTTTTGACATTTTTTATCGACATGTACTACCCAGACTTACCCATTACGTCCATTTCATCCTCATCGAACATGCCAGCGCCGTATTTGATTCCCTCGTATTTAAAGAGTTTGTTCAATGCGTAGCCACCACCGCACATCAATGCGCATATCAATGCGTATAGAATAAATGTGATTCGAGTTCCTAAAAAGCGGTATAGACTTTTCTATTATTTTTTACCATCAAATACAAGTACACGGAGCAAAACATTCTGGTCTAAGCTGGAAACTTTTGTGTACAGCTAACGCTACTGTGATCAGGGGTATGGGTACATTCACCCAGAACTGAATGGACGCGGCAAACCGCGCGGCGAAATTCGTGGTGATTA